TCCATTCGTGAACCATCTCACGGTACACAGAGCCTCACCAACCATCTCCGGTACACAGAGCCTCACCAACCATCACGGCACACAGAGCCTCACCAACCATCTCCTGGTACCAGAGCCTCACCAACCATCTCCACCCCGGCCTCACCAACCATCTCCACGGTACAGGCCTCTGCCCATCTCAGTACAAGCCTCACAAACCATCTCCACATTCAGAGCCTCACCAACCATCTCACGTTACACAGAGCCTCACCAACCATCTCCTGACCACAGAGCCTCACCAACCATCTCCCACGGTACAGAGCCTCACCAACCATCTCCACGATTACACAGAGCCTCACCAACCATCCTCAGGACACAGAGCCTCACCAACCATCTCCTCATTACACAGAGCCTCACCAACCATCTCACGCACACAGAGCCTCACCAACCATCTCCTGACACACAGAGCCTCACCAACCATCTCCCGGTACACAGAGCCTCACCAGCTATCTCACAGTACAGAGCCTCCCAACCATCTCCGCATTACCTGAGCCTCCAACCATCTCACGGTACACAGAGCCTCACCAGCTATCTCACGGTACACAGAGCCTCACCAGCCATCTCACGGTACACAGAGCCTCACCAACCATCTCACGGTACACAGAGCCACCCACCATCTCCTGCACACAGAGCCTCACCAGCCATCTCACGGTACACAAGCCTCACCAGCCATCTCACGGTACACAGAGCCTCCAACCATCTCACGGTACCAGAGGCCTCACCAGCCATCTGGCGGTACCAGAGCCTCACCAACCATCTCACGGTTCAGGGCCTCACCAACCATCCACGATCACAGAGCCTCACCAGCCATCTCCACGGTACACAGCCTCACCAACCATCTCACGGTACAGAGCCTCACCAACCATCTCACGTACACAGAGCCTCACCAACCATCTCCTGACCAGGGCCTCAGCCCATCTCACGGTTCACAGAGCCTCACCAACCATCTCCCACGGTACTCAGAGCCTCACCAACCATCTCCACGGTACACAAGCCTCACCAGCCATCTCACGGTACACAGAGCCTCACCAGCCATCTCACGGTACACAGAGCCTCACCAGCCATCTCCACCGTACACAGAGCCTCACCAACCATCTCACGGTACACAGAGCCTCACCAGCCATCTCCACGGTACAGAGCCTCACCAGCATCTCACGGTACAGAGCCTCACCAACCATCTCACGGTACACAGAGCCTCACCAACCATCTCACGGTACACAGAGCCTCAGCTCCATCTCACGGTACACAGAGCCTCACCAGCTATCTCCTGTACCAGAGCCTCACCAACCATCTCCGGTACACAGAGCCTCACCAACATCTCACGGTACCAGAGCCTCACAACCATCTCACGGTACACAGAGCCTCACCAACCATCTCACATTACCAGAGCCTCACCAGCACTCTCAATAACCAGCTGCTCTCTTGGATCAATATAGGGTTTTCTTATCTCTCAATAATCACGTTCATTCCTTTTATTATAAGTTACTTCATATCTTAAATTATAGGACATTCTTCCCACTAGGAATATACTACATATAGCTGGATGGTATTATAATGAGGTTAAATATCATATGAAGAGGTAAGGTTTATAGTGGCAGAGTCGTATAGTGAGGGAAGTAGGTAGCGTGACTCGAGGGTGTGATGATAATACTGTATATTAACACAGGCTCAGTACAAGTGTAGTATATAAAACAGCTTTATTTTACTAGTTTGATAGGGGGGGGGATCAATGTATAATAGACTATGGTATATTCCTATTACCTAACAAGTAGAATGGATACTTCCACTATGTCGATCGTTGGGGAGGTTCAGGATCACCGCTACACAGCCAGCACTTACTTTTAAACGATGAGGGGGTAGCACACCGTCGATGGACCGGGCTGAGACCTCTTTGCACTTGGTGACGGATTTCTTCAATGCAGCTGGTGAGACGACGAGCGGGGCTGGGGACGAGTGTTGCTGGCCCCTTCACGGTTATAAGAATGATCCTCTGGAAGGAGCTGCAGGCCCCTTATATTGGAGATCTCGAGCCGGCAGATGACCTCTCTTAATTAACACTAAAATGGGTGTTTCTAGACCGGCTGTTTGGTCAGGTAACAGAAGTGCTGGCTGGACGGTAGTTTGTTGAGGTAACACGGTCATGATCACGTGGCAGTGAGAACTGTTCCCTTCGTGACTGTGACTTCACTTTAATTACTGTAGGGTGTGTAGGGTGAACATGTGCTCCCCTGGTTACTACTAAGTCTATGTTATTCTGCTGGCCTGGATGCTTTGGTCTGTTAGATAAACATTATAGAATAAACAGAACTTGGTACTTTATATCCACATTGTACGTCATGTCGCGGTGTGATGCATTTCAGGGTACAACAAGGTCACTGTCTACAGCTGCTGGGGCGGGAACGTGAGGCTCTGGCCATCTACAACAGCGTGCTCAAGTCCAAGCCAGAAGACCCAGCCCTCCTGGCCATCATCAACAACAACTTGGTCTCCATCAACCGAGCGGCTAATGTCTTTGACTCCCGCAAGAGGATGAAGACTGCCATGGCGCCCGGCCTGGAGCACAAACTGACCAGCTACCAGCGCTCTACCATCAGCCTCAACCACTGCCTCCTGGCTTACCACACTAACCAGGTACTGTAGTGTGTGAACCTCCTGTACTGTATCTATCCTATGGGCTGTAAGTTGTGGAATCATTGGGTTTTATCATATAAGTTTGTGTATACATCATATACATTCTTTCTTCTTTACTTATACAAGTTGACAATCCCTTATCCGAAATCCTTGGGACCAGATGCATTTCGGTTTTTGGAATTTTTAGGATTTCAGAATGGTTAGTTTTTTTTTTTTTTTTTTTATAGGAATCAGCCCACTCGGGCACAGCAGGTCACTGACTCACATTGAGGCTGGGGGCTAAAATATAATAATAATTATAATAATAATAATAATAATAATAATCGCAATAATAATTCATAGGTCTAGGTCGTGGTTCTCACTTTTGATCTTTTTTTCATTTTTGTATTTCTTTATTATTATTATTTTATTATTACAGTATTATTGTTATCATTCTTATTTTATTTTTGTGTATAGTTAACCCCATTTGCCGCTGGGTTAATGTAACCCGGAGGGTCCCGCGTAAAGTGAGAAAAGCGTAAAGTGAATAACATAACATATGGGATTAATTGAAATGGAGTCCGGGCCGATCCCCAAACTCCACTTTTTGATGACACACAACTATGTTGTAGTAAAAATATTATCTTAACTTTATGATGGTATGCACACACAATTAATAATTAAGAGAAATATCAATAATATTAGGTTTTTTAACACTTACATTAGTAGAAAAAATGGCTGGGCACACGGGGATGGCCGGTTGGTTCCGAGGCAGAGGGCAGATTATTGGCCCTCACCTGTGTCACTTGTATCAATTGTATCACTATCCACCACATGAGGCTTGCAGGGCCTCTTTGTCAAACTCCCCAAAGTCCATATAAGTCCATATCCTCACCATAATTATCACTATCACTGACTTGGGCCGGCTGTGGTGGGTGGCGGGTGAAGAACTGGTAATGTTTTGATGACTGGGCGACCTTGTGCGCACCATGTTCGCGCAGCTTACACAACATGGCGGATGGCGGGAGGTTTGGATCCAAAATGGCGCGGCTCGCCAGCCGCTCTCCGCGTAAAGGGGTACACGCACCGCGGAATGTGAGCATCCTGGGTTCCGGCAGGGCACCGCGTAAACGTGGAAACGCGGAATGCTGTAAAGTGAGGGTTAACTGTATTTTTTATTAAAAATTTTATTTACTATGAATAATTATTATTATTACTGTATTATCATTATTATTACCTGTACTATTATAATTATTATTATTATTATTACCTGTATTATTATAATTATTATTACTATTACTATTACATTTTCACCCCCCAGGCCCCGATGTGGGTCAGTGACATGTGCCCGGGTGGGCTAATACCCATTAAAAAAAAAAAAAAATTGCTCCACAAATTTTTTTTTCGGTTTTCGGAATTTCGGATAAAGGGTTGTCAACCTGTATGTGTATATATATATATATATATACAGTATAGTCTGCATTTACGCGGTCAAATGAACCCGTGGAGGTCCGCGTAAAACGAGAAACGTGTAAACGAAATAGCAGAACATATGGGATTAATGAAATAGAGACTGAGCCGACCCCCAAACTCCACTTTTTCTGACACAATACGTACCTTGTAGTAAAAATAACATCATAATTTTATGATGGTATTGACACACACATAATATCTAAATAAAAAACTACACTACTGTACAAATATAAAGGTGTTTAAAACTTTCGTTAGTAGAAGAGATGGGTCGGCACACGGGGATGGCGGCTGGTTCCGAGGCAGAGGGCAGATTAGTTGCCCTCCGGTGAATTACTATCACTATTCACAGAGGCTTGCAGGGCCTCCCTGACAAACCCCTCAAAGGTCATATCGTCACTGTCACTGACTTGGGCTGGCTGTGGTGGGTTGTGGGCGAAGAAGTCCGTAATACTACGTTGATGACTAGCATTGATGTTGTCATACATCTGAACATACGGCTCCATAATTTTCGACAGAAGGTTATTAGACACTTCATACCAATGCTTGACTGTGTCTTTGGCAAGATGAGCTTGATTTTCTCCGCCAACTCCAGGTAGTTCAAGGTTTCTCGGGGATGGTGGGGGTCCAGCGGAAGCCACTGTGAGGGGAATAGCGGGCACAAGAGAGAACTGTATACGCGTAGAACTGAAAACAATGAGACTGGCCCGGCTAGGTCAGCGACTTCTTCCCTCCGGTTGCAGGGCACGTCATGTTACATTAGACAATCACAGCTAGCGGCAGAGGGAGGTAAGGATGCATGGCCCAATCACAGCCCTATACGTCATATGACGTCAGCGATAACGTAAGAGCGACCTAATGCGCACCCTCCAGACGCCGCTTCCCGCATAAATGATGGAATGAACCGCGTAACTTAAAATTTTCATTCTGGCAAAGTGCCGGTTAAATGACCAAACGCGTAAACCAAATCAGCGTAAATGCAGACTACTGTATATAATTATTATTATTTTTTTTTTCAAAGTACAAGTTGTACCTCTCTAGTCCGGCATTCGGTGGTCCGGAATGATTTTAGTTTGCCCAATAGGTAGATAGGCAGCTTTTTTTTTTTTCTGAATTATTATTATTATTACAGGAATATTAAATTTTCGTCAGGCCCCAATGTGGGTCAGTGACCTGTTCCCGGGTGGACTAATCCCTGTAAAAAAACCAAAAAAACAACAAAGCTGCGGGAAATTAAGGTTTGTTTACATCCGGCAGTTTGGCTGCTCTCTCTCTCTGTTTGTCTATACAGAGTACAACATTTAACCCTTCAATATATATGAGCAGTAAATAAATGTTGTTTTCATATTCTTATGGAGAGTAATGACGATATGTTTTCACATGTGCGCACATACATACGTGATCTCACTTTTTCTTTTACCATTAATGGTTAGCTACTTCCATTGTTCCATTTAGTAACATTAAATAACATTACTTAAAACAACCATATTAATTTTACTACAGCTACAACCAGGGTCTTATTTTCTTCAGTTTTATATGTAGAACCAGTCAGTCACTGGTTTCGTAATCAACGAAAACAATGCTGTGTCATTTTCTCGTGTGTTTTAATATTCTACGTATTATTAATGAATTGTATTGCTCATTTTGTACACATAAACATTAATTCAATCAAAAAGACATTCAGTAATAAACAATAATGACTCTTTTGTACATAAGAGAAATGACGCTGTTTACACGATTGTGCACGACGTCTGAACGTTGGCGGGCCGTTCAAACCCGTCGAAATTCGAGTTTCTGCCGTCATAATTTTAAATTGTGTAGTGTTTTTTTGTGTGTGTTCAAATAAAAAACGTTGAATTAAATCTCGCGAAATTTGAGAACTACTGTTCGACATTTAACCCTTCAATATGTCTTCAAAGAGACCATGAAGCAGAGAAAGCGGTGCTAGTGCTTCCAAGCGTAAGAACAAGTCACTATCTATCCAGGAAAAGGGTGAATTTCCATGGTCCGGCACCGGTCAGGTTCCGAGGTTGCCGGACTAGAGAGGTACAACCTGTAATATGAAACACAAAGTAATTTAGTATATCCGTATTTTTTTAAATTCTTGTATTACTGTTTTAATTACATTGTATGGCCTCAGGATGAAGTGTGCAGAACAGAAGCTCAGAACCTGCAGAAGGAGTACCCACAGATGACCCTCAAAGTCCAGGTGATCAAGGCTGCACAGCTAGGTCGTGAGGGCAAGTTGGCAGAGTCCCGTGCTATACTCACAAAATGTCTGCAGGAAAACCCAGACCAGAACCTGAACCTGTCCCTGATGACCACACAGATACTGTTGTCTAAGGTGAGTAAGTCTGCCTCTACAACACCACCAGTAAACACAGTGTCTATTGCTGTGGCTCATGGTGTGGTAAGTAAACACGTACTTGAAGAATTGCTTTGTTGAGGAACTTGTACAGGTGACGGCAGGATTCAGAATGACTTCTGTATATTATTTAACAAACCAGTCAACTACTACAAAACATATAAGGAATGGACACTGTCTCATTCACTATAGTACAATGAAGCATGAGACCACAAGAGGGCAGCACTCGCACTGGAACAATTCTGATACACACACACACACACATGAACGTACACCTAGCAGACATCACACAACAAAGAATAATTTTACTCGGTCTCCTCCAATGGGCTGGCCAATTACTCCATTCCTCAGACCTCTGGTGGTGTAGCTCGCTGACCTGTTCCTTGTTGGTCAGAGGAGTGCAGTTGTTGTGGGGCACAGAGCTTATGGCTGCTATTGGCATCATAGGACAAAATTTTATTATGGGGAATACAAACGGGGCAGAGCCCAAGATCGTGGAGTTTTAAAGAATGCCCGTCACCAGTCATTTATTCTTATGTCTCCTCTCCAAACAAAAAACTTCCTTGTCCCGGGTACAGAAATGTGAGCAACAATAGCAGGCAAGTTTATATCTAATCCTCCCCCAGTTCTCAGAGTTAATGATGGCAGCTCCAGTGTTGCTAGGTCTGTGTTTTTCTCACTCAATTGAGCTGCTTTTGAGGGAAGCTAGCAGGAAAAAAATGGTGGTTGTGGATGCCATATTTTTTTTTTGGCTGTTTTTTTTACTGAAGCAAGTGGGTTTTGGGCTGTTTTTTTTTTAAAGCACACGACGTATTTTACCTTACCTTATAGATGTACAGGTAATTTGACAGACATGCGCCTTCTTCCCCCTCTCTCTTGAGGGCATGGCCTGTTTAGTTGACCTGACACTCTTGCGGCTTCATTGAAACCCATGTTGATGTTCTCCACTCTCCAGAATCCCCACAGCCATTTTACTCTCAACCGTGGTCAGTGGAGGAGATAAAATAGCATGCTTGAGCGACAGCATGTACTGTATACGTGTGCTGTAGTGGAATTGGGCAAATGGGCTAAGTATGGCAAAAAAATATAAGAAAGAAGATGGATCGTAAGTGTACCGGGTGATGAAACTAATACAACATACAAAACAACAGTTAGAGCCATCACAGTGATCCTGTAAACTAATACAACATACAAAACAACAGTTAGAGCCATCACAGTGATCCTGTAAACTAATACAACATACAAAACAACAGTTAGAGCCATCACAGTGATCCTGTAAACTAATACAACATACAAAACAACAGTTAGAGCCATCACAGTGATCCTGTAAACTAATACAACATACAAAACAACAGTTAGAGCCATCACAGTGATCCTGTAAACTAATACAACATACAAAACAACAGTTAGAGCCATCACAGTGATCCTGTAAACTAATACAACATACAAAACAACAGTTGGAGCCATCACAGTGATCCTGTAAACTAATACAACATACAAAACAACAGTTGGAGTCATCACAGTGATCCTGTAAACTAATACAACATACAAAACAACAGTTGGAGCCATCACAGTGATCCTGTAAACTAATACAACATACAAAACAACAGTTAGAGCCATCACAGTGATCCTGTAAACTAATACAACATACAAAACAACAGTTGGAGCCATCACAGTGATCCTGTAAACTAATACAACATACAAAACAACAGTTGGAGCCATCACAGTGATCCTGTAAACTAATACAACATACAAAACAACAGTTGGAGCCATCACAGTGATCCTGTAAACTAATACAACATACAAAACAACAGTTGGAGCCATCACAGTGATCCTGTAAACTAATACAACATACAAAACAACAGTTGGAGCCATCACAGTGATCCTGTAAACTAATACAACATACAAAACAACAGTTGGAGCCATCACAGTGATCCTGTAAACTAATACAACATACAAAACAACAGTTGTTAGAGCCATCACAGTGATCCTGTAAACTAATACAACATACAAAACAACAGTTAGAGCCATCACAGTGATCCTGTAAACTAATACAACATACAAAACAACAGTTGGAGCCATCACAGTGATCCTGTAAACTAATACAACATACAAAACAACAGTTAGAGCCATCACAGTGATCCTGTAAACTAATACAACATACAAAACAACAGTTAGAGCCATCACAGTGATCCTGTAAACTAATACAACATACAAAACAACAGTTAGAGCCATCACAGTGATCAACAGTTGCCATCACAATCCTGTAAACTAATACAACATACAAAACAACAGTTGGAGCCATCACAGTGATCCTGTAAACTAATACAACATACAAAACAACAGTTGGAGCCATCACAGTGATCCTGTAAACTAATACAACATACAAAACAACAGTTAGAGCCATCACAGTGATCCTGTAAACTAATACAACATACAAAACAACAGTTGGAGCCATCACAGTGATCCTGTAAACTAATACAACATACAAAACAACAGTTGGAGCCATCACAGTGATCCTGTAAACTAATACAACTCCACTTTTAAACACGAGGACATTATTTCAGTCTGTCTTATCAAAAACAAATGACAATAAAAATGTGAGAATTTCTGAACTGAAATTAACAGCTCACATTGATTGCCATTCAAGCATAAAAACTTTCAATCATCTGGCTGAACTTGTGAAAGATATTTCTTCCGAGGCAACATCCCCACATAGGACAAAATGTATGACACCTGTGAACAAAGTATGAGGACCCTGTATGGTGAATGAACTATGCAGTGATATCAGTGATAGTGAATACTCATTAATAATTGATGAAAGTACAGACATTACTACAAAAAAGACACTTTGTTGTTGTTCAGTATCCCAGCTATTAAAAGAAAAGAATTATTACATCATTCTTGGGCTTGATAGAACTGGAGAAAGGCACTGCGGTCACAACAGGGTATGGACACTAGGCCTGTACGCTAATTTGCATACCTTACTTATGTTTACACTTTTTTTTATTTCATATTATATAACATAATATCAAGTATAATAGTGCATGTCTGTGTGTGTATGATGTTGATACTTGTTTTAGTAATTAAATAAAATGTTTCTCCCTTCTGTTATACCTTTGTCTGTTCTCTTGAGCGTAATACATTATATTACTGATAATAATGGTTTTGGGGAAAGAGTTGGCGGTTTCGGGGCGGGTTTTGGGATGGGCTTGGGCGGGAATGCAGTCCACAACCTGGCAACCCTGGGCAGCACAGTTGCCGCCCCTCAAGAAGTTGCTGATTTTTTTGCCTCAACATTTGCAGGTGTGTCTTCTATGGCAGCTCAATCCTCAGAGTTCAAGCAGGTGTGTTGAGTAGAGGAGTCAAGGGCCCTGGATTTTGGAGTGAGACGTGGCGAGACATACAACATCATGTTCTCAATGAAAGAAATGAGAACCACCATCTCACTCACTGGAGACACTTCACCAGGGCCTGATGATATCCCATTTTCAATGATCCACCACCTTGAAGTTGAGGCACAGATCTTTCTATTGGAGATATATAACAGAATCTGGTGAGAGGGTGTCTTCCTGGCCTCATGGTGGGAGGCTACTGTCCTGCCTTTCAAGAAGACTGGAAAAGAGGGTCTTCTTCACCTGCTATATTCTAGTGGTTACAATGTCTCCTCATAGCTCTGACCTTCTGTATCTGCAAGCTTTTTTAAATGCTGGTCAACTCTCGATTTGTATACTACCTGCAGAAGAATGCTGTTCTTTCGCTGTATCAATCTGGCTTCCAGATGATGCTCTAGTTCATCTTGAGACCTCGGTGTGTGAGGCTTTTGCTCATCACCAACATGTAGTCTGCATTTTCTTCGACCTAGAGAAAGCATACAACACAACTTGGAGATTCGGCATCCTTAAAGAGGTTCACAATTTTGGATTGCAGGGAAATTTACCATCAATAATAGGTCAGTTCTTTGGACATCGCACTTTTAGGGTTCGTGTAGCCACAGAAATGTCAGCACCGCATATTGAGGAGGATTCCTCAGGGCAATGTCTTGAGTGTGACCCTATTTGCCATTGCAAAAAATGGGGTAACAACATCAGTTCCAGGTGGTGTGTCAGTCTCATTGTATGTAGATGATGGCCATTTGGTATGCAGCTTCCCACATGTCAGTGGTTGAATGTCGCATGCAACTTGCACTAGACAAGGTTTCACATTGGACCATAGAGCATGGTTTCAGATTTTCTCCCTAGAAGACTGTTGCTATGCATTTCTGCCACCTTCAAGGTGTTCACCCACATCCTGACCTACAGCTTTATGGTTGTTTCCTAGGCATTATCTTCGACAACTGGTTTATGTGGCAGCCACATATTCGTTACCTCAGAGAGTCTTGCCTGTGTGATCTCAAGTTATTGAGAGTCTTGAGTCACACGTTGTGGGGGTTTTGACCGAGGAACTCTGCTGCACCTTTACCACATGCTAGTTAGACCAAAACTGGATTATGAGTGTGAGGTGTACTCCTCAGCCACTGAGACTAGACTCAGTACGCTGAACTCTATCCATCATGCTGGGGTGCGCCTGGCTACTGGTGCCTTCAGGTCTTTGCCAATCCCAAGTCTACTAGTTGATGCTGATGAACCACTCCTTGATCTTGGACGTCAGTATCTCCAGGTCCAGTGTTGGTCTGCCTCCACCGCCTTCCACAGTCTGTAACCAACGAATAATAATTTTACTCTACCGTGACAATAATAATTTTACTTTACTTTGACAAATAATAATTTTACTCTACCTTGACAAATAATAATTGTACTCTACCTTGACAATAATAATTTTACTCTACCTTGACAAATATAATTTTGCTCTACTTTGACAAATAATAATTTAGCTCTACTTTGACAAATAATATTTTTGCTCTACTTTGACAAATAATAATTTAACTCTACCTTAACAAATAATGGTTAATGCTTTGTGTTGTAGGGGAAGAAGAAGGCAGCATGTGAGGTACTGACATCCCTGGAGGAGAGTGACATGTACCGACAGGGCGTTGTCTCTGCCTTAGTAGCACTCTACATGTCCCTGGGAGAACGTGATGGTGCCTCCGCGGTCCTCAGACAAGCTGTGGAATGGCACAAGAAGAACAAGGTGAGGAATTTGTATCCTGTAACCAGGAGAGTTTCTTGGTGATTCTATCATTATATAACCTTTGTGGCAGTGGTAAAAGGTGTAATGATGACCACTGTCCCTACAGCTAATACACTGTACACTGATGATGACCACTGTCCCTACAGCTAACACACTGTACACTGATGATGACCACTGTCCCTACAGCTAACACACTGTACACTGATGATGACCACTGTCCCTACAGCTAACACACTGTACACTGATGATGACCACTGTCCCTACAGCTAACACACTGTACACTGATGATGACCACTGTCCCTACAGCTAACACACTGTACACTGATGATGACTGACTGACCACTGTCCCTACAGCTAACACACACTGTACACTGATGATGACCACTGTCCCTACAGCTAACACACTGTACACTGATGATGACCACTGTCCCTACAGCTAACACACTGTACACTGATGATGACCACTGTCCCTACAGCTAACACACTGTACACTGATGATGACCACTGTCCCTACAGCTAACACACTGTACACTGATGATGACCACTGTCCCTACAGCTAACACACTGTACACTGATGATGACCACTGTCCCTACAGCTAACACACTGTACACTGATGATGACCACTGTCCCTACAGCTAACACACTGTACACTGATGATGACCACTGTCCCTACAGCTAACACACTGTACACTGATGATGACCACTGTCCCTACAGCTAACACACTGTACACTGATGATGACCACTGTCCCTACAGCTAACACACTGTACACTGATGATGACCACTGTCCCTACAGCTAACACACTGTACACTGATGATGACCACTGTCCCTACAGCTAACACACTGTACACTGATGATGACCACTGTCCCTACAGCTAACACACTGTACACTGATGATGACCACTGTCCCTACAGATAACACACTGTACACTGATGATGATGCACCACTGTCCCTACAGCAACACACTGTACACTGATGATGGTCACTGTTCCTACAGCTAACACACTGTACACTGATGATGACCACTGTCCCTACAGCTAACACACTGTACACTGATGATGACCACTGTCCCTACAGCTAACACACTGTACACTGATGATGACCACTGTCCCTACAGCTAACACACTGTACACTGATGATGACCACTGTCCCTACAGCTAACACACTGTACACTGATGATGACCACTGTCCCTACAGCTAACACACTGTACACTGATGATGACCACTGTCCCTACAGCTAACACACTGTACACTGATGATGACCACTGTCCCTACAGCTAACACACTGTACACTGATGATGACCACTGTCCCTACAGCTAACACACTGTACACTGATGATGACCACTGTCCCTACAGCTAACACACTGTACACTGATGATGACCACTGTCCCTACAGCTAACACACTGTACACTGATGATGACCACTGTCCCTACAGCTAATACACTGTACACTGATGATGACCACTGTCCCTACAGCTAACACACTGTACACTGATGATGACCACTGTCCCTACAACTAACACACTGTACACTGATGATGACCACTGTCCCTACAGCTAACACACTGTACACTGATGATGACCACTGTCCCTACAGCTAACACACTGTACACTGATGATGACCACTGTCCCTACAGCTAACACACTGTAGCACACTGATGATGACCACGTCCCACAGCTAACACACTGTACACTGATGATGACCACTGTCCCACAGCTAACACACTGTACACTGAAGATGACCACTGTCCTCAGCCAACACACACTGTACACTGATGATGACCACTGTCCCTACAGCTAACACACTGTACACTGATGATGACCACTGTCCCACAGCCAACACACACTGTACACTGATGATGACCACTGTCCCTACAGCTAACACACGCACACTGATGATGACCACTGTCCCTACAGCCATTATTCGTACACTGATGATGACCACTGTCCCTTTACAGCCAACATACACTGTAGTACACTGATGATGACCACTGTCCCTGAGCCAACACACTGTAGTACACTGATGATGACCACTGTCCCTACAGCCAACACACACTGTAGCACACTGATGATGACCACTGTCCCTTACAGCTAACACACTGTAGCACACTGATGATGACCACTGTCCCTACAGCCAACACACACTGCATACGATGATGACCCCACTGTCCTTACAGCTAACACACACACTGTACACCGATGATGACCACTGTCCCTGCTAATAACACACTGCAATCACCGATGATGACCACTGTCCCTTACAGCTAACACACTGTACACTGATGACCACTGTCCCTACAGCTAACACACTGTACACTGATGATGACCACTGTCCCTTACAGCCAACACACTGTACACTGATGATGACCACTGTCCCTACAGCTAACACACACTGTACACTGATGATGACCACTGTCCCTTACAGGCCAACACACTGTACACTGATGATGACCACTGTCCTACAGCTAACACACTGCACACTGATGATGACCACTGTCCCTACAGCTAACACACTGTACACTGATGATGACCATCCTCACAGCTAACACACACTGTACACTGATGATGGTCACTGTCCTCACAGCTAACACACACTGTACACTGATGACACCAACCCTACAGCCAACACACTGCACACTGATGATGACCACTGTCCCCATAGCCAACACACACTGCACACACTGATGATGACCACTGGCCTTACAGCTAAACACACTGTACACTGGAAGATGACCACTGTCCCTACAGCCAACACACTGCATACACTGATGATGACCACTGTCCCTACAGCCAACACACTGTACACTGATGATGACCACTGTCCCTACAGCCACACACTGTACACTTCAAGATGACCACTGTCCCTACAGCCACCACAATTGCACACTGATGATGACCACTGTCCCTACAGCTAACACACTGTACACTGATGCATTTAAACCACTGTCCCTACAGCCAACACACACTGTACACTGATGATGAGACCACTGTCCTCACAGCCAACACACTGCACACTGATGATGACCACTGTCCCTACAGCCAACACACTGCACAGCTCGATGATGACCACTGTCCCACAGCCAACACACTGTAGTACACTCACGATGACCACTGTCCCTACAGCTAACACACTGTAGCACACTGATGATGACCACTGTCCCTACAGCTAACACACTGTAGTACACTGATGATGACCACTGTCCCTACAGCCAACACACACTGTAGTACACTGGATGATGACCACTGTCCCACAGCTAACACACACTGTACACTGATGACGACCACTGTCCTTACAGCCAACACTGCACACTGATGATGACCACTGTCCCTACAGTAGCCAACACACTGTACACTGATGATGACCATCGTCCCACAGCCAACACACTGTACACTGATGATGACCACTGTCCTACAGCCAACACACACTGTACACTGATGATGACCACTGTCCCACAGCTAACACACTGTACACTGATGATGACCACTGTCCCACAGCTAACACACTGTACACTGATGATGACCACTGGGTCCTACAGCTAACATTAATTGCACACTGATGATGACCACTGTCCCTACAGCTAACACACTGCACACTTATTATTTAATTCACTGTCCCTGTGCCAACACACTGTACACTGATGATGACCACTGTCCCTACAGCTAACACACTGTACACTGATGATGTGTCACTGTCCTCACAGCTAACACACTGCACACTGATGATGACCACTGTCCCTACAGCTAACACACACACTGTACACTGATGATGACCACTGTCCCTACAGCTAACACACTGTACACTGGATGATGACCACTGTCCCACAGCCAACACACTGTACACCGAAGATGACCACTGTCCCTACAGCCAACACACACACACTGCACACTGATGATGACCACTGTCCCTACAGCTAACACACTGTACACCGATGATGACCACTGTCCCTACAGCTAACACACTGTAAGTACTGATGATGACCACTGTCCCCTACAGCTACACATCACACTGATGATGACCACTGGCCTTACAGCTAACACACTGTACACTGATGATGACCACTGTCCCTACAGCTAACACACACTGTACACTGATGATGACCACTGTCCCTACAGCTAACACATACACTGTACACTGATGATGACCACTGTCCTGCTAGAAATACCACTGGTATAATTGATGATGACCACTGTCCCTTACAGCTAACACACACTGTACACTGAGGATGACCACTGTCCCTACAGCTAACACACTGTACACTGATGATGACCACTGTCCTACAGCTAACACACTGTACACTGATGATGACCACTGTCCCTTGCTAGGCCAACATTAATCGCATACCGATGATGACCACTGTCCCTACAGCCAACACACTGTACACTGATGATGACCACTGTCCCTACAGCCAACACACTGTAGCACACTGATGACACACTGTCCTGCTAGCCACACTGCAGTACACTGATGATGACCACTGTCCCTTGCTGAAATAACACACTGTAGTACACTGATGATGACCACTGTCCCTACAGCTAACACACTGTAGCATACCGATGATGACCACTGTCCCTGCATAGCCAACACACTGTAGTACACTGATGATGACCACTGTCCTCACAGAGGCTAACACACTGTAGCACACTGATGATGACCACTGTCCCTACAGCTAACACACTGTACACTGATGATGACCACTGTCCCTACAGCTAACATACACTGTACACCGATGATGACCACTGTCCCTACAGCTAACACACTGTACACTGATGACAGACCCACTAACCTACAGCCAACACACTGCACACACTGATGATGACCACTGTCCCTACAGCCAACACACACTGTACACTGATGATGCACCACTGTCCTTACAGCCAACACACTGTACACTGATGATGACCACTGTCCCTACAGCAACACACTGTACACTGATGATGACCACTGTCCCTACAGCTAACACACTGTACACTGATGATGACCACTGTCCCTACAGCCAA